TTTTTTTAAAAGTTTCAAATAATATAGCTAGAATGTTTAATTAATAGATAAGATAATAATTTTAATCGACTAGTAATTTATTTACATTTATATTTCTATGATTTTTCTACATATTACATATATTCATATAAATATAGCGAAGTATCTAAGAAAATTCAATTTATTCGGTTCAGTTCGGTTTTTCAAAGTGAAAACCAAAACGGAACCAAACACTTACGGTTCGGTTCGGTTTTTTTACATTCGGTTTTGGTTTTTTCGGTTTGATTTTTTTTCTAGCTCATTTCGATTGATTTCGGTTCGGTTTGCGATTTTCGGTTTTTCCTACCCAACCCTAGCACCAACATCCCCTCAATTTTGTTCTTTATTATTGTTTCTCTATTTCTTTTCTTTTTTTCATAGTTGTTTATAACTTATTTTTTTAAAACTATTGTTTAAAATGTTTTAAAAAATAAAAATTGCTCGGTTAAGAAATATAAATGAATTTCAAAAGATTAACATATACTCAGTACTTCATTTGACTAATGAAATATTTTTTTTGTCTAAAAAAGATTCATAAATTTTTTATTCAATTGAACTAAAAGAGAGTTTATTGCACCAATAACACTTTTGGTTTGGTAAATGTACCCTGCTACCTCACACACTTTCAAAAAAAGTTACGCCGTCCCCCACCCATATCCATATGTCAATGGGTACGTAGACTAAAATATCGTTCAAATATTAAATAAATAAGCTCTAGTGTCCCTCCTAGAAGAATATTAATGCAATAAATTCTATATATAAATACTCACTTTGTCTCCATTTTTATTACAATTTTATTTTTTCTTTTTTCTCAATAACTTTTGTTTGTTTGTATTTTTTATTGATTATTTGATAAAATGATATATTTTCGACATCTTTTATTTTGTAGAACTTAAGATGTACTCCCTCTATCCATCATAGATCTTCTCAGACACTATTCACAGGGTCAAAAGATTCACTTTATTTATTTTTACTACTCATTTCATAAAATAATATAGTATTGTCACCTCTAGTTTTGTAGAACTTTTCATGTAGTTTATTACTACATAGATTTTATATTAAAAATTTACCCCTATATTTAAATAAATTGAATTGAAAATAAAATCGGTCAAACCTCGTAACGCGCAATGAGAATATCTTAGGTGGACGGAGAGAGTAATTTTTTAACATATATTTTTACTTTTATTGATATATCAATTTATAAATAAAATAATTTAAAAAATTAAAACTTTAATTCATAATTTCCATTTTGTAATCAAAATAGCCAAAGAAAAAGTATCTATTGCCATTTGCCACAGTGATCAGCCAGCCTATCCATCCAGCCGCCCATTGGTCAGTGTGCCAAATCAATGATGATTCTTAAAGGGGTAGGACTTAGAAGTGGTATTTAAAAAGGTAAATTTACGATGGATTGAGTATTTGAGTTGGTGCATCACTATTCACTACCCTTAGAGCTTGTTTGGGAGTGATTAATTTCTGGATAAAGTGATTTTCACAAAAGTTGAAAGCAAAAACACCTCATACTTGCTTCTCCAAAACGGTGTTCTGTGTATAAAATAGTGGTGGTGAAAAGCAGAAGCTGACATGCCAAACAAAATAAAATTACTTTTACTTAAAACAGAAGCTAAATTACTAAAAGCAGCTGCCAAACACCTTCTTATTTAATGCCAAACAGAAGCTTCGCATAATCACTTTTTAATGCCACGTCATTTACTTTCAACTTTTTTCACCCTACTCTAATTATTTCCTACTTTTCTTCTTTACCTTTAATACATGTGGACCCTAATACTTTCTATCAAAGTTTTTATTTTGTCTATATTTTTTATTTTATGAAAAAAAAAAAATCATACCCCGTATTTTTTATTTCAAAATTTTGTTTGAGCCTTTGATCTTAAAAAAATTGCTCATTAAAATTTTAAATTTCATTTATTTATGTTTAAACATTTCGTTAGTTCAAAATTTAATTTTTAACTTTTTATTTATATTTTTTGGTTTAATAAAGAAATAAAGAATGACCATTTCATTTCCTTCTTTACTACGTATTATGTTAACGTGTCTTTCAATTCTTTTTTTTGTTTTTCTTTTTGTTTTTTGCACTTTTTTGTTGGGATATTGAATAAAAAATTGAGTACTCTGGTGGGAAGAAAATTTTTTCATACATTTTTTGGAAATTCAAGAAAAAAAATTGGATTTGGCAACAAATTGGAAAATTTCCAATTTGATTTGGGATCCATAAAAATTTGAAAAGAAATACGACTGTTTAAAGTAAAATAATAAAATTTGAAGTAATATTTGATATAAAATTTGAAATGAAATAATAGAAGAAATAAAATTTTTGTGATATATGAATTGAATATGAAATTGTTATTTAAAGATAAAGAATTAAAATATTTTTAGATTGAAAATGTCAAAAACGGTGACAATTGGAATATTTAAAAAAATTGAATTTAGATGCTACATGAAAAGTAGGAGAAAGGGGCCTATGAACCCAAAGAAAAAGCTCTCAACTAATACTCTCTCCATTCTCAAAACATTTTCTCTTTCGTTTTTTTTACTTCCAACAAAACACTTCCACTTTCTATTAAATAACCACTTTTACCCTTACTTTTTCATACCCAACATATCACATCGTACTTTTTCTCTAATAATCTATCCATCACATTTTACTTTTACACATCACATCAAGAGCAAAATTGGAAGTCAACTACAATTTAATACTTTCTTATTTTTCACTAAAGTCAAAAGAGGAACATTTTTTCCAAACGGAGGGAGTAAAATTTTTTCTCTCTATAAGCATCATATTCACCTCTCAACCACACCCTCTTCACTTTCCTTTACCCTCCATAAACATTCTCCTTAAGGAGTTTAAATACATCTAAAAAACACTCATTAAATAGAGGGATGAATTAGAGCTTTTAAAAAATTCCTTCTATTTTAATGTTTTGGAAAGTAAATATTTAGGCTCTATTTAATACACGAAATTTAAATTATAGAATCAAAATTGAGGTTAACAATTTTAATTCTGTTGTTTGTTAGTACAAAAAATATATGGATTTAAAATTGGTAGTGCCAAAATAAATAAGAATTGAAGAATTCAATTCCATTTAAATTAATTTTAATTTATAAAATTTCAACTATCAATAAAATTTTAATTTTAATAATTCTATGTACCAAATAGACCTTTATAAGAATTTGAGGGTGTATCCAATTGAGAAGAGTTGGGGACTTGGGGCCATTGCCCCCTACTAAATGAGAGTGAAAGTAGGAAGAATTGGCAATGAGTCAATATACATAAAGTTTCCCTAAGTAAACAATAAAAGGACCCATCAAATAAATTAATAAGGTACAACCCTAATTATCTCACAAGCTACTAATGCTAAAAACTCTCAAGCAATAAAGTTTGGACATAAACTTAGGGAGGCTCAGTTATTTGTGTGTTAGTTTAAATAAAAATTTTTGAAAAAAATTAAAAAACCATCAAATTGTAGTATGACATTAAATTATCATGTAGAGAGTACATCGTTATGTAGTATTTTACAATATTTGACTTTATTTATATAAAATCTCATTTCGGGTTAACTTTTTTAAGTGTCTCTAACTAACATTTTCTAGACCCGACATTGAAGAATAAATTATAGTCCCTCATACTAGTTTATGTGAGTAAATATTGTAGAGGTACTTATACTATTTCAAAAGATTTAAATTAGTCCTTGTACCTAAAATTGAAACCATTTTGTCCTTGTAATATACGGAGTATATTTTTGTTCAATCAAGTCTTTCTCTTCACTTTGATGACGTGAAATTTTACTATTGATTACATGGAAATATTCTTTAACATAATAAATCATACATTTAATCTAATTTTACGTACAATATAATACTCCCTCCGTCCCAAAAAGATTGGTACATATTGACTTTTTGGGAAATTAAGGGAGAGATTTTTGGTGTTAACTTTCCAAAAATACCCTTGAGTGATGGATAAAAGTAGGATGTGATGAGTAGATTATTAGGAAAAAAGTATGTTGTAATAGGTATGGTATGAAAAAGTAAGGGGTAAAAGTGGTTTTTTAATAGAAATGTAACGGAATTTACGGGACGCAGTTTTTTCAAAACGTGTCGGACTTTTTGGAACGGAGGGAGTATTTGTTTATAATAACCTCAATTAAATCATATATTGTACCAAAGTTTTTTTTACTTTTATTCACTCCGATACAATATAATATTTGTTTATAATAACAAAGTAATTAAATACGTTCAAATCTAAAAAATTATGTCAATTTTTTTAAAAATTTTATTAGTGTATGAAAAAAGTTATAATAGTGATCCATCGAAAAGGAATGGTTTTAAAGTTTGATTAGTGTGAAAAAAGTTAAAATAGTGATCCATTGAAAAGGGATGGAAGGAATAAATTTTTACTCGTGAAATTAAATCAAATAAGTTGAGGTAATGTTTGGAAACTTGAACTATTGAATTTTAATTCCTCCGTTCTCAAAAAGAGTTTCTATTTTAACCAAACGTAAAAGTTTTGTCTGGATAAACGTAAGATCTAATGATAGATTATAACGTATGATGCGATAGGTAGGATATAAAAAATAAGAATAAAAATGATTTTTTTTTAATTTGTGTACGAATTTCATTTCGATTAAACTAAATATGATTGGAAACAAAGATTCTAAGTAGTTTATTAATGGTAAATAAAGTCGTCTATCTCTGCATTGATTGGGGGAATTAAATATATTATCCCGAGGGGAAATGAAAAACATTCCTGCATATAAAAATAATCATCTGATTTGGACTTCAATCTTTTTTCTTCAAACTCTTCTAATGCTAAAAGCAAAGTGTGCCGAGACTTGGTGCCAGTAATTAAGAACCAAAAGGGAAATATTGCAGTTTTAGGAAATTCGCAGATTCAGATTCTGGTTTAGTCTTTTTCAACAAAAAAAAACAAAACTAATAAAAAAAAATTAGAGATTGGATCCAGAAGATGAGAAACTTACCTTCGTCCTCGGGCAAGAGTTGAGCAGAAGAAGATGTGATGCAAAGGAGGAAGAAGATATTCCATGTCAGGGAAACCTTTTTCCATCCCCCCCCAAAACTCATTCTTCTTCTTCTTCTTCGACTTAATTACAATATACTGTCGGTGTTTGATGAATGGCTGCTCGAGATATATGGTGAGGAGGCGCTGTAATTTCCACAAATATGGTTGGGTACGATAGGGTGGCGAGGGAAGAAGAAGATTGGGTATTTTGGGCAGTTACTTTGGGTTTTGATTTGAATTTTCCCGAGCAAATAATAGAGCACATTGCCACCAATAAATAAAAAAAAAACACAAAGAGAAACAACTCATACAATACCGGAGGCAGGCGATAAGTCTACGCCTGATTAAATACAAGTCAAGAGGAAATTTCTTTTTTGATTGGGCATCTAATCGTCCGGTATACATCATCCAATAGAGGCGGCGACAACGAGAGATTTAATCGCCGAAGGTGGCGACAAATCTAAGCCCCCCAGGAAAATTTATTTCAACAGAGGCAATTTCTATTTGCAGGATCTGAGTTCTTGGCTGACGTCACGCCTCAACAATGTAGAATATTTTGACCTTTCCTTTTCTGAGAGAGATATATAATTTTTGGTAAATGAATCTCTTCTGTGGTTGATTGTTCTTTGAAATTCAAGATTCTCTCTAGGCTTCTTGGATATTTTAGAATAAATATTCCAAAGTATCACTTTTTTTTAGAATATACTTCCCAAGTTTGTAGTGGGATCTTCATGGACTTTGCACGGCTCGATCATCAATCTTTGTATGGTTGAACTTAATCAGTCCCACGGGTGACGCCAAATGATGGTGTTAATTGTTTCGACTGACTTTAGCATTTTTACCACGTAAAAATGATAAGCACGTCTATCAATCACCAAAAATATGAACAAGCTATTTTTGACGTGGAATTCCAAATTCGGAGAACACCACGGGCCCTTTTCGGCGGTACCATGCCAACGGGAATATTTTATTAATATCGGGGTAGTATATAGTACATAATCTTTGCATTACAACCATTGATGGAGCATTTTAGCACTATAAAGAATAGATAACACAATGAGTATTTTCTAAGTAATGTGAGAGTGTATACTAGTTTTATGAGCTTTGTCTCCCCATACTGAAGGTGAAGGGTGTCTTTTATAGTGAGAGATGATGGAGTAGTTATGGAGATAAATATGGCAGGGGAGTGAATGGTAGGAGTAATTATGGTCGGTAGTGATGGGTGGAGGTAGTTATGGTAATGAGCGAATGGTGGGTGTAGTTAAGGAAAGTGAGTTGACTATGAAGATAGTTATGGTAGTATTTTTTCTTGTCATATTTTTTCTTTTCCCTTTGAATTTTTATAACAGATTTATGGCAATCCCTATCCCTAGCATTACTGGTTTTAAATATTATATGTTATCATTGGATGTTTTCACTCATTATCTCTAGGTGTTTTCTTTAAATCATAAGTCTTATGTTTTTACTCACCTTAGCATTTTTATTTACTATGTCAAAAAATCACTTTCATACCATCATTAGATCTGTTCAATGTGACAACGGTACTGAGTATCGCAATTCCCCCTACGATTCGTCTTTAACTCCTTGGGTAGTTTATTCTGTTTTTCCTGTCCCCTTACTAGCCAACAAAATGGCCGTGCAGAGCATACCATTTACACCATAAACAACACCATCGGAACCAGGGCCGGCCCAATAGGGGGACAAGGTGTCCGTCCGGGCCGGACCCAAAAAATTAAGGGGCACTATTTTTTTAAGTATTATATTTATACTCCGTATATGTTTATAAGCCCAGGCCCAATCCACCATGCTCCATCACTTAATTATTACCCCTAGCCCAGTCCATCCTCAAATCCTTAGCTTGTAGAAAAAAAACGGAAGAAAAGCTGCCGAAGAGAGCTGAGTCGCCGCCAGCCGCCTCCACCGCCGGACGCTGAGTCGCCGACCTGCACGGCTCCACCCTCCAGGTAATTAGTCCTTTCCAATTTTGTAATTTTTATTTTTTAAATCTTAATTTTCTTTAATTGTTTCATTTTTAGATTTAAAATCTAGGGTTAATTATTAGTTTTTAATTTGAAATCTTTTCCAATTTCATTCATTGAAATAGAATGAATGAATGGTTCTATATGTTATTTATTTGATTTGGATGAATTGATTTGAATTTGTTATTTATGATAAAGATATATTTATATTAAAAAACTGATAAATTGATGAATTGATATGAATTTATGATTTATAAAAAAATTAAAACTAAAAAAGAAAAAACCATTTAAAAAGAAAAATTGACGAATTGATATTAATTTATGATTTATTTATTTATTTATTTATTTGCTTGCTTGCTTTTTTATTCTTGATTTTACTCAGTAGAATTTATGGGCGGATTGGCGGTAATAGCTATCGAGAATGAAATCTTTGAGAGCATAGACTGTGAAGATGTGATCAACTAATTTGCTCTCAAGAATGCAAGGAGAACTTCTCAAATCCTCGGCTAGCTTTTACGATATGTAATTATAATACTATAATTTTGTCATTTATTTTTTTCTTCTAATAATATTGCGTTAATTATAATTTAAATATAATTAATTTACATATGTGAATTTTTTAGACCATTAAGGATAAGACTTTTAGGGTGTTTTTTCTGTTTCAGCCCAGGCTGATGAATCTTCAGGACCGGCCCTGATCTGAACTCTCCTCTTTCAAGCACACCTTCCACATGAATTCTGGGTGGATGCTCTTCACATGGCAGTCCATCTCTTTAACCTATTACCAACCACTACCTTACACAACCAAACACCACACAATATCCTTTTTCAAACCCCACCCACCTACTCTCACCTACGTGTCTTTGGCTGTCTGTGTTACCCCTACATCTCCGCCACCACCCCACACAAATTAGCCCCACGCTCTACCTGGTACATCTTTCTTGGCTACCTTCTAATCAACGTGGGTACCATTGCCTCGTTATACAAACTAAAAAAATTATCATATCTCGCCATGTTATCTTTGATGGAACCACTATTCCCTACGAACATGCCTCCTCTCCTGAAGAACTTACCTTTCTCGACTCCGCGGAGGACGATTAACCCAACCTCACACAGCGCCCCAAACCCCCAACCAACACCCCTTCGGCTTACAAATTACATCCAGAAAACTCCAAAAAAAACAAAACTATAATTGTAAAAAGTGTAAAAGAATTTGCAACTTAGAGAAGGGAAAAATTTGGATGAATTTTGATGTCAAATGAAGAGGGGAAGCGCAGATTTTATAAGATAGGACGCAAAGCGTCCAACCCCAAGCGTGCAGATCTGGACGCTTTGCCACATACTCCAGCCCGTCATTTATCCTCACGTCTCATTCTTGGAATGCAATCCAGCTGAAGCATCTAACCCACAAAGCGTCAATGGGTTGGACACTTCAGGCCCGTTTCCTTTGCGCTTCATGGCTTGGTTGAAATTAGGGCATGATTTTGCTTTCTTATGTCCCCGACTGTTTTCGCCTTCCCATAGATTCTCTTGAATAATATTTCCCATTTTAAAACCTTTTTCTCTCATATATGAGTAAGAAATCGAATATCCAAGCTGATTTTTTATAGAACCAAATTATTATTCGTCTTAGAACAAATCGACAAATATTGTTCGTATTAACATGTTATTATGCACTGATTTTTTACTATTTTCGTGCAACAACGTTTAGTATAATAAAATAAGAACAAAATGGACTTATCAGGGATTCGATTCCCCAGCGTACCGCTTGATTAAGGGAACCTTGAACCCCTGAGTGTAGGGTTCTGCAAATATTTTCGGGGCGAGGGGGGTATTGGTACGGGTCGTAAAAACCCGTCCATGGTTCACCTTACGCTGCATCTCTTGAATCTTCCGTTGGAGATCTTGAGAATTCCCAATCTCCAAGTTTGGCGGTCTTAAGAGCCGAACCGCCGGAACCCTTAACTAGCTCTGCGCCTCATCCTCCCCCTGGCTTGTGCGCTTTTCTCGGTGGGATGATTTCACCTGGCTGGGGCCGCTCCTAGCCCATGAGTGCCTTTTCCTGGTTCTTTCCCAACCTTTCCCTAACCGGGACCCGTCCCGGGACATCCGCTCGAACACTGTACCTCTCAAATTCCAGTTTTCGTGTTGTGTGCCTGGCTGGTTGCTTGGAGCCCAATCGCTGCGCGACCTATCTTCCAGGCTTGTCTCTGGTTCTCCCGATTGTTCCAAGCAAATTCTGCATCGAGGCACCTCCTTATGGCTTCCTTCTCTCTTGATTGGGTTGGCCTGCCCCCCAGTCGTCTCAAGGATCAGTCGCGGCTGCCCAGTTGAGTTTCTGGGAACACCGGAGGGTCTTGGGGGGGCTCGCGCAAGCCTTTCCATGACGTTAACCATTATGTTGACGTTGTTTTGCAGGGCCGCCTCTAACTCATTACTTTGTGTGTGTTGTGCTGTTCAGGCACCCACATCGCAGCAGATGATTACTGTGAGCTAGTGGCATTGCACCTAGAGTTCCTTGTTCTTCGTCCGACCATTACTTCATCCGATCCTTCTGCTTCGATCTCCCTTCGCTCTCTAGTACGGTGCTTTATCCATGTTGGGCCTCAAAATTGTATTTGGGCCGCCCTATGCGTGTTCAATGGTCTCGATATCCATCTAAACCGAAAAAAAATGTAGGAATATAGAAAATGGAGGGAGGGTGTTGAAGACCCGTCGTGCGGTCCAAAACAAATTAAAAAGTTGACCCGAAGCATGTTTTTAACAATGATTCAAGCATTAATGCACTCTAAGGGACAAACATAGCATGAAAAATCAATAAAGTGGTGCAATTTGTTCTGAAAAACAGTGAATTCAAACCAGATTTTTTTAAAAAAACTGCACTTTTAGCTTGAAAAGCACTGTAAGAGAAAAAAAAATAATACTCCATAGCATGAAAAAATAAAATGGTGGATATTTGTTTCTAAATATTAGCAAACTCAGACCCAATTTCATAAAAATCTGCACCAAAATTTTATTAATAGAATCAAAATCAGCATGCTAAAAGAGTAAAAGAAGTGCAAGTTTTCCAAATAATGCATGGACATCTCAAATTTTAAGAAAAATAGCACTTAAGATTATCCAAAATCAGCATATGTAACATGAATTGGCAAAAATCAGCAAGCTAGAAAGTAAAACAAAAAGAGTGTTCAAAATGCATATTTTTTTGAAAACGGTACCAAATTCTTCACAAAATAGCATATTGATCACAAATTTTAGCATAAACACAACAAACTGTGCTGATTTCAATTTGCTCTAGCATTGGTAACCTCAGTTCTAGAAAGAACATGTGAAACACTTTAGAACAATAGAAAGAGGCTACTTCTAAAACATGTTGTCTCACAACACAAAGAACAAAAAACACAAATGCATACTAAACTGATTCTTTACAATATTTTCCCCGGCAACGGCGCCAAAATTTGTTGGGGACTTGTCGTGTGGTCCAAAACAAATTAAAAATTTATAAAATATCCTTAACTAACCCCCAAAATATAATCAAATAAAATCTATAGCTAGGGCAAGTAAGGGTCGATCCCACGGAGAAAGTTTGTACTTTTGAAATCATTTAAGCATGCACACACATTGTCACGAAATAAAATAAAAAAAACTACACATATGATAAGAACTTATAATAAAACTTATAACTAAAAACATATAAATATAACTTATATAAACAAAGAACTTATAATATAACTTATAAACATAAAACATATACTTAAGATATACTAAAAAATATATAAAAACTTATATTTATAACTTAAAACACAAAAAGGGGGGGGTTTGAATAAAAAGTAAATATTTTTTGGTTTTTTATATTTTCTTATTTTTTTTGGATTTTTTTTAATAAAATGGGAGAAACAAGCTCAAAAGATAATCAACTTCTCCAACT